TGCTTGTACGAGATCCGTCCCAACTACCCAACTATAGACTGACTGATAGGTTGTTATTCTTGATTGACCAAACCGAATAAAGATTGTGTATTCCTCATAAGGAAGAGATTAAGAGTCTGATAATTGGGGAATGCCACGATACTGAGGGTCATTTTGGTTTCAAGAAAACATATGATAAAGTTAGAGAACGTTTCGAATGGAAGGGACATAAAGAAGATGTACTAACATATGTTCGTACCTGTTTAGTGTGTCAGAGAAACAAGCCATCGGATGGGAATCCCCTTGGACTTCTTAAGCCATTACCTATACCAAGCGAACCAGGTGAGTCTATCTCAATTGACTTCATGAGTTTGGTTAAAAGTCGCAATGGTAATAATCAAGTGATGGTAATTGTGGACCATTTCTCTAAATACGCTATGTTTGTTCCTTTACCAGCAGAAGCGCGTACTGAACTTGTCATTCAAAAATTTCAGATGCGATGGGTCACTGAGTATGGGTTTCCTAAATCCATTGTGTCTTACCGAGATGTCAGGTTCACCAGTCTGCCATGGCAAAAACTGATGGAAGCTTATGGCACACGGTTGACCATGTCGTCAGGGAGGCATCCCGAAACGAATGGCCAGACTTAACAGATGAACCGTCTGTGCCAACAACTTTTGTGTATGTATGTTAGACCCGATCAGATTGATTGGGACGAAAATTTACCCAAAATTGCTAGTGCATATAACAACAGTGTCCACACTTCCACTGGACGAATCCCGAACGCACTTCACAAAGGGTGGAAACCTAAACGTCCCATTGATGTACTAAACCAGGACCAATTCCTTAGGTTGCCCCCAGGGATCCGAGAATATGCAATACTGTTCGAGGAGGACATTCAAAAAGTTAAAGATAATCTAAGGAAAGCTCAACTAAGGACGACTGAATAAGCCAACAGACACCGTCGACCGTCCACATTCAAAGAGGCAAAGAGGGTGATCTGGTTTGGGTAAAATCTAAAGAGTTTTCATTAGAAGAAGATGTCTTCCAGAAATTGCTTCCTGTCTATTTGGGACCCTGGGAAGTTCTCAAAGTAATTGGGGATGCAGAGGGACCGTCTTATTGAATTGATATTCCCCCTCATCTCAAAACTTACCCCGTCTTTCACGCGTCCAAATTGTTACCGTATGTAGAAGGAAATGAGTTTCCACATAGACCTTCTATGATTCCACCAGACATGGATGGCGGATATGAGGTAGACAGAATCATAGAGCATGGTTACTTCTCTACGGGAGGACGTGGACGACCTCAGAAGCAGTTCAAGGCACGTTTCAAGTCTCAAGCAGCATCTGAGGACAGATGGTTTAATAAACGAGAACTAAATGAAACTGCTCCTGATATTTTCGCTGCTTATGAACGAGGGTTGAAGTCTTAAATATTTCTGTGGTGGAACTTGAAAATGGGCCGGCAGGAATGCAGTAACCCTGTTCAGAAGTAGCCTGGGGTCCAGAACTCAGCCCAAGGCAACGCATACCTGAGTTGGTCTGCGCTGGGCTGTGTGACCAAGACACGCCCATGCCCGAGTCTGTCACGGTTGGCTGTGTGACCGAACACTGCACACAGGAAATTCAAGGGTCAAAGTCAACTGTAGAGTCAAAGGTACCGCACCCAGGCCCTTGGTTGGATACACTCATTTGTTGTGCGCAGAAACCAGACAAGCATCCAGGCCGGAGGGAATGCGGTTTCATACCAATCTGGGCCTTAGTTTGTATCGAAATCTGGACGGCTGAGGGTGGTAGCATCCGGGGCCCAGACCCCGAGTCAACGCTACATAAGCGCTGACTTTCCTGGCTTTGACATTCATTCTGTCTTACGTCGATGCTGTCTTCACGCGTTGACGACGACTCTGGCTCGACGCTGCGAAGCTGGCTGAGCGCTGGCTCTGTGCTGGCATTGTGTCCACAGCGACGCGCTGCTGGTCCGGCATGGTGGCTGACTTGCACCTGTCTTCTTGGCATGCTGACGTGGCAGCTGCCATGCGCTGTCGCTGACGTGGCTGCTGCCACGTGAACTACTGGTTGACGAGGTGAAGCTATGTGACTTGTGTTGCTGTTCTGATTATCGTCATTCAAGAGGAGATCAAGACTGTGGAGAGATCGTGGATACTTCACTGGTTGTCTTCATGTTGACATTGCTCCATCGCTGATGAGGGACTGACTAGAAGTGCCACGTGGCACATTGAGGTTACTTCAGATACTCGTTCAGATTATTGATTATTGAGGTGGTGATYGCGGAGGGAGCCCGAAGAAGCAGTGGGCATTGTTTCTATCTTCCCCACTCAAGTCTTTCCTCCCTCTCATCTACCTCGTCTGTGTATGTCTTCTCTTCTCTTGGGTATCTGGACACGAATACGATTATTGATAATCATCAGCTGGTTGACACTCATTTGGACTTGCATTGTTGACAACTGTCTTCACGATCTGGGTTCATTGCAACCACTACCTTTGAGCCTGTTTCCCCCACCCTCATTTTCACTGTGCGCTCAGTTTTGCCGAGCCTGGGTCCCGCTCTGTTTTATTGTGTGGAACTCTTGTGAAAAAAAAAAAAAACGTGTTGCATTGGAAAAAGAAAAGCAGGGCATTACAGCACCTAGGTCACATCGGCGACAGAGAAAAAGAAAAAGAAGAAGGGGACAACCATCTGGACGTCATAGCAGGTGGATACATCCAGCAGAGTGCTTGTGTGAGTGTGCCCGAAGTGAGAGCGAAGCGTCGTGGTCAGGTCCACAAAAGAAGGCGCAAAAAAAACAAATGAAACAACCCAAGGACGGGAAAGCAGGTTGATAGTACTTGATACCTTCTCAGTAGTACTGGTGTGAGTGTGCCCTCCATGCCACTGTGTCGGCAGCCCGTGGAATGTGCCCTGCCTCCCTGGCTGGGCACTAAAACGAAACAAAAGAAAAAAAAACAAAAACAACAAAATCTGAAGGTAGCCAGAATAGTGATTAGATACGTTTTGAAAGTTCTTTCTTTTTTTTTTTTTTTTTTTTGAAAAAGCACACATTCAAGTTTTGCAAGCTCTGGTGCGAGGTCCCATTAGCAGTCGGATAGGAGTGTGGCCGATCCAGTGTGACACTGAGTGGCAGCGGGCTGACAGGTTCACTACGAATTTCTGGGCTGAAAAAACAGGAAGGCAAAAGAAAAAAATAGAAACAGAGACCTCCCACCCGAAATCACGGCAGAGTGCTTCCCAGCTCTGATGGTGGTGGTTGCAACAACAGTGAACATAGTAACCGCCACATTTTCTGGAATCAACTCTACTTCTGTCAGCAGTGATCCTGACACCCTCCACATACTCAGTGATTGAAGGAGGGCTCCACCCAATGAGATAATTGCACAACAGCAAGTAAAATACTGAAAATCTTCTATCCAGTGGGCCTATGGCTGACCCCACCCTCTTTCGGGGTTGGCCACACCCCCAACTGATTGAAAAGATTCTGGCGGGAAGCTTTCTCTGCATGGGCATGCCCAGTGTTAAGGAGAGGAGGAGGGGATCAAAGATCTCCTTACTTTTTCGGGTAATACATGTAAAATACTGACCATGGGATCACGAGTACTGCACGGCAGGATTTGGGTCACTCAACTGCCCCACAAACTCGTTTCTATCCTATCCCGTTGCTAATGGGACCTCGCCCCTGGTATGAGCTTTACCTTGTTCACGGGTGGGCGATCACATTTTTGACATCACCATCTTTGGCGATTTTTCATTTTTTTTTGTTTTCTGGATCAGCCAAATGCCCTGAAAATTGATAGGCATATACTCGACATGCTACAGAACCCACCAAAAAAAAATCAATATATAGATACTTTTTCAGGCCCCGAAATGATTTTTGGCGGGGTCCGGACTTGGAAGTACGGCCCACTCACGTTCGGCCGGACACCCGAACGTTCGGCGGCGGGTGGAGACCCTCCCCGAACGTTCGGGCGGGTAACCCTGCATATATTTATTTCATAATCCATAAAAGGGTGGAGGGCAAAAGGCAACTTCCCTAAGACAGAGGACACCACCAGCAAGAAAGCACCGACCCCATCCGCCATAGGTCCGAAAAAACTTGGCGAGCCCTCCTGCGTCGGCCCAGTGTGCATGTGTGTATGTGTATGCTTGTTGGCACACTCACTTGTGCCAGACTATTTCACTGGAATTTCACCGACTCATTGGGAGGTTGAGCCCCGACAGTCTGCCCAGGATGCATGTGTGTGCGTGCGCGTGTGTGCATGCACGTGTGTGGCCGTGTCTGTGCTTGCATTTACGTGCATGCATGAGTGTGTGTGTCCATGTGTTGACCGTGTGTTGTCCGTGTAAGCGCATTGAGAGAGTGCTGGAGTAGGTGGGCGTAGGTGCATCGAGTGTCGTAGGCATGTTGAGTGGCGTGTTGAGAAGCCCGGTACTTCGACTGGCGGACTAATATACTGGTCGCCCACAAAAAAACATCAAAGAAATCAAAGGAAAAACAACAAAAAATGGTGGGCGGCCGCRRCGTTGCTTCACCTGGGCGAGCAGTTTGAGGCCATTCGGCACATCCGGTACCAACCGGTACCTTTTTCCAGCGAATGGCCTGGATTGCAGGCCAATTACCACCATGGACGGCCCAGATCTCAGGTCGATGAGAAAAAAATCTCATTGACCTGAGATATGTGCCGTCCACGGTGGTGATCGGCCTGTGATCCGGGCCATTCGTTATGATGCTTAGGGGTTTCTAGAGTATTGTCAATGTGTATCACTTTGCTGGGGAAATCACAGTCAGAAAACTAAGCAGAGAGAAGCCAACCGCCCACCACAAACCATGCACAATACTGCGAAACTTCGTGCAAAAGAATGATGGACCACCCATCAGAGATGAGTGCTTGTGATTAAAGAACTTCACAAAAAAATAATAACGACCCGTCAGAGGTGAGTGCATGTCATCTGGAAAGCCACCAGCAAAAGTTGAATTTCCAAACAGAAATCCATCCTCCTGTATTGTTCCTCTCATGACTTTATCCTCCTCCTGAGGTCACCGACTTTCCCATCCACTGAACAGATTTGCATAACGACATAACCCGGAACTCCTCAGTGATCTAATGGTGTCCCCTATGGCCTGGCATCTAAGGAAAGCTGTGGAGTACTCAATGTCAGCACTAGCACAAATTTGCCAGAAAAGCAGGAGCATGTCGCTCTCGGGCTGAATGAATAGCAGCGCCTGGCTGCCAACATCCCACAACATGGAGCTTTCCGTGTTTTCATCTCAACCAAGCATGTGGCTTTCTGGTAAAGATATCACCTGCAGCTGGAGATCTTCGGGCAAAAGAATAGCATTGTCTTGACCCTCTTAGAAGAGGTGTAAACGGGCCTCGACATTGCTCCAATCGTCTTTCAAATGAGCCCTTTGCACATGCTGCAACATCGACCAACCATGAGAGCAGAAGCATGCTCGGAAATTGTGCGGCACAGAGCTGTGCTTTGAGTGCTTTGGTGAAGCCACGTGATAACCATGAAGGCAGAAGCATGCTCGGAAATTGTGCGGCACAGAGCTGTGCTTTGAGTGCTTTGGTGAAGCCACGTGATAACTCAACAATGCCTGTGCAGATTTTGACAGGTGCCGTAAGAAAAAGGGGAGAGGAGATTATGGTAGGGCAGAAGGAGAGGAAAGGACAAAGAGGGAGCCACAAGGGCCCACAGAAAAGACTGTGAACACAATCATGAATGGAGAACTTTGAAGAACTATCC